AAGTGAAGAGTGTGATCAAAACAGACTTGTCTCCAAATGCTGCACTAATTGTTATACAGTTGCTTGTTTTTCCTGACCGACAGTACGGAAGCCACTTTACTGTCACGTAAGATAAAGAAATGCAGTGAATCCTCACAACTCAGAAGCTGGAATTAGGTCATATTTCTCCCTTTTGCTTAAAGAATGACTGAAACAATTATTTATATATTTTAAAAATAGTTGTTGATTCATTTTCTGTGGGTTGACAAATAAGCGAGGAATCAGCCAATTGTCTCTAAACTCTAATACCCGTTCAATCTCATCACCCAGCTTCCAGGCAAAGTCGAATGCACCAACACTGAGTGATGATGCAATGGAAACTTTGTTGATCACCACTCTTAAACCGCAGTCCACTTTATTTGGTTTCAAGAAAAAGGGATTCCTCCTCCTCAATATGCTGATGAGGTGCAAAACTAAACATCCTGGGAACAAAAGCCGAGTTTAGGATGTGGGTGTTAGGGGATGTGTGTGAGAAAAGTTTAGTAAAACGGAGTTAAAGAGAGAAAAGGGAGCCGTCATTTACGTCAGAGGCATGGAGAACAATGCTGGAGGCAGGAGATAGATCAAGGTCAACTTGTTATGTATGCTGCAACTGAACAAGACGTCAGCGTGTCAGCCTGCCTGCCTGCCTGTCTGTCTGTCTGTCTGGAGGGAGAGTGTCTGTCTGTCTGTCTGTCTGTCTGTCTGTCTGTCTGTCTGTCTGTCTGTCTGTCTGTCTGTCTGGAGGGAGAGTGTCAATCTTACCCAAAATTATTGGTATAACAAGTGTAGCCAGTTTTAGAGGGGGTGCTGGTAGTAGTTGAAGTTCTAGGTCAAGAGTTATAGAAGTAGCTGGAAAAGTCTGGTCTCTGCACTTTTTCAGTCTCATGATAGTCTGAATGTTATAAGGTTAAACACTGAAAACTTGTCTCTTTCTGGCTCAGACATGTTACAGAGTGTTCAATAAAAATTGGACCTTCAATCTGGAAATATTAGAATCAGCCTTATAAACTCCAGACTGGTCTTGTCCCCACTGACAGTAGATTTTATTGGCTACTTCCTAAGGGGGTGTAAATTTGGACTGTGTCTATTAACTTAATCCTTTCTGACATTTTAATATCCTTCACATTGGCTTTACAGTATAGATTCTTGTTCCTTCCTGCAGCAGAAACATAATAACCCCTAAAGGAGCCATATTGCTCACTTCCGTCCACTGTAAATACAGTATTACTGTATTTTACCAGCAATGAGAGGACATAAAACCACACAATGCAGGAAGCTCTTCAAATGCACTACAAAATAAAAATGGAGAAGTCCATCAAAAACTGTCTCTCAAAACACATTCGGGACAAAATTTGATGACAGGTGTGAATTGTTGTCTGTCTCACGTCTACACACAATTAAAATACAATTAAGATTAGACAGATTATCATACGAAAGACTAGTTTTAAATGAGGTCTTGGTTTTGGAAAGTCCTGGAAAAGTCCTGGAACTTTAGAACAAGGAAGGTGGAAATTTGATGATTTCATTTTAAACAAATAGTTGACTGCTGTACAGAACACTTTACATTCAGGTGTTGCACAATCATCTTTGCTCCAGTAGTGGGAGCCGTCTCCCCATCAGAAGCCTGTTGGTTCCTGCTGCTTCTGAATGGGAGTGAACGCCTCAGTGAACTGCAGCTGCTGAAAAGCTGAATGGTGATTATGAGTCTGCGGAATGTGAACTGTTATGAATCTGTTAAAGACATTAATAATCACAAGTAGACAACAAGACAATCTAATGCAGTTCATGTAATTGTTTTACCTGCTTTTCTCACGGCCATTAGCGACATTACTTCAACATAGTTTGTGTTCAGTTGTCAGCCGTGCAAATCTGATATATTGAGTTGATTAAATATCAGCATCATCCAGTCAGTGCATAGTCCAACTATGATGTGATGGAGACACAGAGGTGAGCACTCATAATATTTGAAAACCTAATTTGTGAACAGCAGTTATATTTTTACGGTCATGGATTAATTGGAACCAATGAACAGATGTGGCAGGTCATGAGGTTATATTTTACCAGTGAGGGTGTAAAGACTTCTGATACGGCAGGTCCATAGAAATATAAACCGACTGACCGATTCTTGGTGTGTTTGTGTTTTAAGTATCAGGTTGTTCAGCATCTAACAAGGAATTTAAATTCACAACGGACCACATTTACTGCTCCCGCTTTGATACGTAATCCAATGATCTGCTTTAATGATGCAACTCAGCACCAGCAGAGATCACATGACCATGTTAAATCTCAGCAGAGGCCATGTAGAAGTGTCAAAGTGTCCTTGAGCAACACGCTTGAACATCCCACCTGCTCACCCAGAGATACGACTGGGGAAAAAAAAAAAAAAAAATGAAAAGAAAAATATAGTATAATTCCCACGGTCCCACTAGGACCACTTTATCTATCAAAATTATTCTGAAAAACATCCCTCATGCATGTATTCATGAGAAGGGGAGAAATCATCTGCATCCTACCTGGGAGGGGGGTATCTACGTAAGCCCTGTCACAAGTCTCCTAGTTCCCCTCTTTCCTGGCAGGCAGATCTATTTATAGCTCCTGACGTCACTGGTCTCCTCTGATGGAGCCTCGTCACGGCCGACTACACCGAGTCAGGGGGAGGGAGGGGTGTAAAATGGGGTTGGCTGAGGTGTGGTGGGTGGGGGGGTGTCATCACTGAGGTAAGCCCATGCTGCAGCCCTGTCTCTCTCTCTCTCTATCTCTCTCTCTCTCTCGCTCTCTCTCTCTCTCTCTCTCTCTCTCTACCCTGTCACACCAATCAGGTATGAGATGCTGAGGTGCATCACTGTGCTGGATACAGCCTCCCTGATCACCCCCACCTCCTCCTCCTCCTCTTCCTCCTCCCGCTCATCCTCCTCATCCTCTCTCTGTCTCTCTGTGAATCAGGTCCGTTTCATTCAGCATTGATTGCATAATAGCCGTCTTTCATTTATCAGGCACTGCTATTGCTGGAGCGCCTGGAGGCAAGCTCGGCTAAAAATAGACACAGGCAACCTTCCCTTGCTCTCTCGGTGCTCTGTTTTCTATTGTTATTATAGAGAGGGGTGGGGCTGCCATGGATGACAATAGATCTAATTAGAAACACACACACACACACACACAAATAAGTTAAAATTACCACTCAAATATCCACATGATGCTTTTCATGAAATATCCACTTATAATCTAATTGTGTAGAAGACTTTTTCTGTGGCAGAATTAAGGTCAAAGAAGAAGTTAACGGTTGTAACGTAATGGTCGCTGGTTTCAGTCTTTTAAAGCACATGCAGCAGTCAGTCAGTCACTGTGCTCTCTGACCAGTCGGTGTGTCCTTGAGCAAGGCACAGCTTCTCTGAGTGAATGTGGAACACGGTGAGGCTGCAGATAATTTCTCTGTTGCTGAGCTTTAACTCTCTACTACTACTACTACTCCTCTCCGGCAAAACTCAAAGCCATCTTTCTGTGCTTTGGCTCTTTACTCTCCTGTGGTAGCAACAGTGTGTTGCAAAAAAAAAAAAAGAAAAAAGAAAAATCTTGTTTGGTCCAGAGGAAATTTTGGGTAAAGGGGAATTTATTGAGTGACTGTTGGCAATACTGAACCCTGCAATCCAGAGCCTGCGGACTGACCTCATCCTGATTGGAAGGATTTCAAAAGGATGAAATCAGGGCCTGTGATGCTGTTCCACTGAATCCAGCTGGTTAAAAGGCAGATTTTTGAAAATGGAGTATAGCTTTTATTTTGATCATACAAATGAAATGGAATTTTAACACCGAGGGTCCAGGACATTATGTACTTAGAGGGAGGTTGCTCAGTAATAAGGGTGCCTTTCGGTGTGACTGGGTGATAGTGGGAGTGGCGGGTGGGGGTAAGTAGCTCAGCTGACGTAACATGCATGAAGTCAGTGCTGACGTCATACAGAGATAGTGGAGGGTGTGAGCGTGCGTTTGATTGCGAAAAGCAAGTAATCACAAGGTCACCTGTTTAAATAGATGCTCAGAGTCGTGGTAGACGATTTGAATCACACTTTTTTTTTTTTTTTTTTTTCCCGCTACCAAGTAGAATTTGCCTTTTGGGATTTTTAAAAATGATGTTTCATGAATATTTCTATACACACTGTTCATGTTTGCCTTTAGCTGCCTTGTGTCTGTTGTTGCTGGTGTCATTATTATCGTGTTGTTGAAGCACTTTGGAATAATTAGACTTCCCTGCACTGTACTTTCAGGTCCAGTCATTTTGAAGAGGCTTTATCACAGTGTCTTGTAGCTTGTCGTATCCTTATCTCAGCTTTCTGTTCTCTGTCTCCACATGTACACTGTCAGCAGCTGCAGTAGCCACAGTATGTTACATCCAATGTGTCAGATTATTTGGGTTTGAATGCCCTGCAGATTCTTACAGCATCTTTGCCTGAGACGCTTTCTTTGTGCGGATAACCACAGCCAGTGTTGCATTTATACTTGCTATCAGTATCCTCAATGAAGTCATTTATGAAAAGGCATTTTTACGTAGTTGTGTTGATACAGTGTGATGTTATTTATCTATAGTACTTGTTTTTACTGTACTGTGCTTTAATCTTAAATTCTTTTTTTAACCTGCTGGCTGCTTTCTATGTGGTGAAATGTAACCGTATTATCTTTTGTGATATACAAATATACAGTATTGGCAGTGGGAGTAGTAGTTTCCACAAGGGCAATACTTGTAGTATGCAGCAGCAGTAGGAAAAGTAGTGGTGTAGCACAAGTAGTAACAGTGGCAGAATTAGTGATGGGACTGTAAAAAACTGTGGAGGTAGCAATTAGCCTTTTTCAGACCACATAAATTATTAAATTAAAAGAATGATTAAGTGAAATGAAATGGCAGTTCAGTCAAAATTTGCAGGTGGAAATGACAGACACAGTCACAGTAGTATTTATGCATTTCTTCTTCTCTCCCTCTCTCTCTGTAGTTTTGATGTGGAGAATGGCCTGTCGGTGGGTCGCAGTCCACTGGACTCTCAGACGAGCCCGGGTTCTGGTCTGGTACTTCAGGCCAACTTCCCCCACAGTCAGCGCCGTGAGTCTTTCCTCTACCGCTCTGACTCAGACTTCGACCTTTCGCCCAAAACCATGTCCCGCAACTCATCCACTGCCAGCGACCTGTGAGTATTTCAGAGACATTGTCTGTGTTATTTTAACACCAATAAAACAGCCATCTTTATGCTGTGTTTTATATTCTGAGGTGTCTGTGTAGGATTTGGAGAGAAAACTATTGGTTTGCTTCTCAGCACAACAAAAATGGGGACAGTACTGTTCTTCTAGAAGAAATAGCTAAAAAAGTTTCTGATAACAGCAGAAGACAATAATGTACTAATAAATATGTTTTTATAAGGTCATTTGTTTATTTATTGCCGAGTTCAGACTAGGTGCTGGATACCAGGTGATTACTTAATCTCAAATCACCCATCAGTATTGATCCCCCACAGTGAAAGATAATTATCATAATAATTAAATTAATGCATGTTTAAATTATGCTTAAATAATGTTTTAATCCTTTTTTTTCACTTTAGAAACTCGTGAAGTTCTAAATTGAGGTTCTTTTGTTGACAGTAGATTTTGTATTTCATGCCTTCATTTGATCCAGATATACAGTAAACTGTATGCAGCATCGGGTCACCTGGATTATATCACTACTGCTGCTGTAGAGTAACAGTGGGGAAACACTGGAATTTATTGTCTATGTTTTTATGTAAACCCGTCCAAGTTCCTGTTCACACTCTAAAAAGTGCATTTACTGTATGGCTTCTGGCTTTAAAGAGGCTTTTGGTAGCAGAACTCGTGTTCGTCAGCGTCAGCAGCAGAACAATCAAATTTATTTGGGACATTCAACTAAAGCCAAATCTACCATCTAAACTCAGAAGTAGTTTGTCCTCCAGTTTCTGCCTGTTTGTACAGCTAAAGATATCTGTGTGCAGCTAGCAGTCTCTTTGAAGCCAGAGTGTAAATGGGGCCTCGGCCACCAATAGCTGTCCCTCGTTTGTTTTGAAGGGAGGAGGGATTGAAGCATTGGGAAGTCAATTGGCTACCTCGGTGAGACAAAGTGTGACGACTGCTGTGACTTTCTGTCTATCTCTTTGCACTGTGCCATGTTGTCTTGAGTCAAACCCACCACTCCCCACCCTCCCACCCCCTTTTCCTGAACACAACCTTAAGAACATCTTGGCCTCAACTCCAAAAGCAACGCCACTGCAAAGTTTTTCTCAAAGCAGTCCCAGCAAGCATTTGACAGATGGTGATCTGGTATCACATACTGTACATTTGAAGTGAATCCAAAGGAGTACAAACATTTGCCAATTTGATAATAAGGCACAGTAGAAAAAAAATAATAATCACATTAGAATGGCTTTTTGATACTTAGCCCTTGATTTCAACAGTGAAGGACGCTTCAGTCTTGGGTTTTCATTGCAGGCTGAGGCCGTCATATCTAAAGTTATTCAATGTCAAAATGTTTGCTCGACAGTGACGTACAGTCTGACTCGAGTTTGACTCTGTACTGACACTGTACTTTTCACTGGCAGCATGGATTTACCCTGAAGTCCTAATGGTTATGAGGTGCATGTCGTGACTCTCAAGCTTTCAGAGAGAAAATTGGCTTTCCCAGCTCCCAATGCATGGACACTGCTCCTCACCTGCACACGGTTCTACTTCTCTAAATCTTGGAGGCTTTCTGCAAGAGCAGAATTAAATCTGCATTAAGTGATTATTGACTCTTACAGAGACACAGGTCTGACATTGGATTATTAAGTTTTCATGGCTTACCTATTAGCAAATATTTGCCTACTTATACATCATTATACCCTATAACTCATCTCATTAGAGACACGTTTCTAGCCGCTCAGGAATTTTAATATTCACTTCCAACTCTTGAGACAAATCTAGCTGCTAATTGCCACAATACAATTTCACCAGTTACTTTTTTAACAGGTGAACTACACTCAGCTTGTCTTAGCTTGTTTGCTGGAAGCCATTACCAGTGGTTTTACATGGCGAGTCATAAAGCCAGAGAACCAAAACTATGATCATTTTACATCACTTAATGCAGGTTTATTGAGCTTGTTTAAGTTAAACCTCACTGGATAGATGCAGTATTGATAAAAGTTACCTTTCCATTAACCAGTTTAAGGTTTTTTTAATATTTTATTCCTCTTTCCTGACCTCTGGTCTTTTCCACTAGACTTCAGTCTTATTTAAACTTATTTGCAGCAGTGGATCAATGGCTCTGCCCATTAAGGTTTAACTCTATCTGCATCTTTTCTTCCAAGAAATAGTTGCATAACTAAAAAAAAAATTCCTCTCCTCTCTGCCAACTGTAAGAAATCCTCATTAAGATCCTGATGACGACAAACATACTTGTTGTCATTATTTGTGTGTTTGCATTTTGACATTTTGGAATCATGTGTTATTTCCTGAGCCACTCTGTCCCATGTCTGTTCCTTCTCACATGACTTTTTCACTAGATGTTTGTCTGTGTTTGTCTGTGGTTTCTGTAGGCATGGAGAAGACATGATAGTGACTCCATTTGCACAGGTTAGTAGCATTTACACATGTACGTAAACACACAGTGCTGGTTCTACAAGACCAGGCACTTCCAAAATCTACTGACCACTTTTATTAAATCTGTCAGAAAATACAGAACCCTAACCCAGTGATTTACCAGCATTGATTTAATGACGACCTGTTCAGCAGGGGACAAACAAGGGGACATTTAGGTTGAGCACTGGGGCCAATTTGTCAACACAGTATAATAGATATGTTAGAAACACAGCAACACAATAAATGGTTTTTAATATTAATAGATAATGGTAGAATTAAATGGATTAATATGATACAATACTATCCTATACTATACTATATTATATTATATTGTATTACGATTTACAGATTATATATAAACTGCTTATTAAAGTTGTTTGACCTCCGATAATTGATAGTCAACTCGGTTCTCGGGTCCTCAGCAATACACATGCGGTACAATAGCAATACACCCAATTTTGAAGTCAATCGGACGAACAGATGACAGACAGAAACTTCTCGATTTAGTCGTAGGAGTAAAGGAGACATGTCTCCCAGACCTGGTCTTACGTCCAGCGTTTCTTGTCGTTTTAGGTTCTTGCCAGTCTGCGAACAGTGAGAAGTAACTTTGCTGTTCTGACACATCTGCAAGATCGTGTGGGAAACAAGTAAGAGCAAGAAAAACAGAGTGGATGACTAACTGCTTATTTTCTTGTCATTTTACTAACATCTCATCTGTTCCAGGCGGCCGTCAAGCAGCAACCAGCCATCAATGTGTAAGACATCTCTCACAGGTAAGTGTTAACATCACTGTATGATGCGACACTCTGGGATTTTAGACGGGGAGGAAAGTCTTTGTCCTCATTGCCTTTAGATGATATTTAAATTGGGCTTTATTTTAAAACAATGTGCTACAGTTTGTTTGATTATAGTATTCGTCAGTATTATATGGTTTCTGTATGTCCATTCCCGAATGATGCATCATTGTGTTTAAGGGTTTTTTTCAAGAAAGGTTTCCTGTCCTTTATTAAAATTTTCAAAATAAAAACCACTGGGAAACACTTGAAGTTCCAAAAGTGTCCAAATATTACGTAAAGTCTAACTCCCTCACCGATATAATTCTACTTTAAAATCTCTGCCCATTGTCACTCAGTGCACATATGATGAAGTTGTTATGAGTTCAGGTTACGTAAGCTTGTGCTTGCCTGTGACCTGTGTTTGTGTGACCTCTGACCTTTCAGAGGAGCCTTACCAGAAGCTGGCGGTGGAGACACTGGAAGAGCTGGACTGGTGTTTGGACCAGCTGGAGACGCTGCAGACGAGACACTCCGTCAGCGAGATGGCATCCAATAAGGTGAGGACTCATTCAGCTTCATGCTCTAAACCCTCATTTTAAACAGAGATCCCGCTGTATTGCCTTTAAGAAGACCCTTTATTATGTTTGTTTACACTGAACCAAACAAAGCCGGCGTATCGCTGCACCCGTGTGTGATTTTAGAGCCAGCGTTCTGGATTCAGAGATGAGGCATGATGTGTAACACAACAGCATCTGCACTGCACACCTTTTATCTGGCTCTGTGACTACCTCTGCTGCCTGTTACTGCCAGAGCAACAATGCCCCCCACCAATTCCACATCCGTACCTTTTATAGAGAACGGCAAGGTGGAATAAAGGCTGTTGAAAATCAGCTTAAGAAATCTCAACAGGTCAGGGAAGTTGCCTCTTAACATTTCATTACAGATCTTAAGAGCTGTATGTGAAGAATCATTTTTTTTTAACAATCAAAGGTTCCAGTCCATTCAGCTATAATACCTGAAGAGTATCACAACTACTGTAGGTGTTTGAGACCTGATCGTCCTTCATACATTTGGCTTCAAAAAGTATGGGAATATTTTCAGATGGTGCAAGTCACATATACACTAAAGCTACAAAAGCCAAAATTCACAAAGAGTTGGAGAGCTGTAATGTTAATACTGTAAGGTTATTCAGTCAGGAATATCTAAGAAACCAAAGATAAATCTGTGCACAATTCAACTCACATAAACTAACATCAGCTGCAGACACAACAAGCTTTAATATATGAGCAGGTGAGGATGAGATTAAGGAGTAATTTATACTAAAAACAGTTTTACAATCTGTGAGCAGAGCTTGATCTCTTTTCTCATGAATAACTTTGATTCTAGTTTTCACATATAAATCACATGTAGGTCACATGGTTCAGGATGTGATTTTGGAGCTCCTGTCCATGTGGCGCAGATCAGCATTGAAAAATTGAAAGTTTTTGCCACTTATTCCTGATTACACTTCTGAGAAAATATCAAATGTAAATCAGCTGTGAGTGGAAAATAGAATTGATCACCTCCAGCTGCAGTGTGAACATGGCCACGAACGCTCAGGTTCATGAATGGCGTCTCCCTCGGCTGAAAGAGTTAATCAGCATCTCCCCACTTCACTCCCTCCCACTTCTCTTTACCGTCTGGCTTCTACACTCAAACCGCCTCCATCTCCCAGTCAGCCAATCAGATCCCTCTCCTCCACCCAGCCCCTGAAGCCAGACGAATGAGATTGGACAGAGAGGGAGGGGGAGAGCGAGTAGAGCCGGGGAGGGGGTGTGGGGGTTCCTCACAGCCTCTCCCTCCCTGTTTCCCTCTTTATGTTTCTCACTGACAGTGTGTGACAGTATTTGGATGAGCGACTGCAGTCACACCCTTTCTTCCCCCGATGATAGACCACATCCCCAGCCTCACCCTGCCCCACCCCTCCCCTCTGACCCCCATCCTTCCCCTCCCCTCCCCAGCCCCCCCCCCCACCCCCCCACCCCCCTCACCTTCAGGACAGCACATGGGACTGTGGGAACTTCTATTTCCAAGTGGTCCTTTTTTTTTTCTTCATGTTCAAACGGTCCCTCCTGATCGTGGAGCAGAACTGAGTGAGGAGATTACAGCCCCGTCTCTAAGCCAGCAAACTTGTCAGCTTGTCTTTTTGGATTCTCTGACATCAACATGCGGGGACTGACATGCCTGCGTCGGCGCTCTTGGTTTGTCTGTGCCAGAGACTCAGACAGGTGAGCGTCATGGAGCACTGCCGGCTCGCCTTGTTTACATTGGGATCTATTGATCAGCGGCGCAGGCTTTGCAGGGGGCTGAATGCCGAGTGAGCCCGCCTGTCGGATCTGAGTCAGGACTGGGTCTACAAACAGAATGTTGAATGCTGAAAATGTGTGTGTGTCTATGCACGTATGAGTGTGTGTGTGTGTGTGTGTGTGTGTGTGTGTGTGTGTGTGTGTGTATGAGTATGAGAAACAGCGATAAAGGAGCAGCTGTCATGATTTTCTAATGTAAAACAGATTCTTAAAAGCTTCGGCTCTGTTTGTAGAAGCAGGACTATGCTGCATGTCATTTGTAAACATATTTGCGTGTGTTTGTATGTGTGTTAAGAGGAGGGAAGAAAGCCAGAGGAAAAACATGATATAGTGAGCAGTTGTGTTTAGGAGCCACAGGAGCAGTAAACCACATGATTAACAAACAGTTTTTGCTTATAGCTACAGGATCATGTTTCCTAGTAGATACCTAGTCAGTATTTATGTGTCTGTCCGTGTGTGTGTGTGTGTGTGTGTGTGTGTGTGTGTGTGTGTCTGTGTGTGTGTGTGTGTGTGTGTGTGTGGAACCACTGCAGCATCACTCTCTCTCACCCAGATCCCCTCCCTCCTCCCTCAGCCACCACGTGCCAGAGCTGTTACATAATCGGCGTCGTAGCTACCGCTGCGTTAAAACTCGGGGGAAACACTGAACACTCTTGTTTTTAAAAAAAAAAAAAAGTTTTTTTGTCAGGAATGATATGCTGGTGTTTTTAGCTGCAACACTGGTAATTTCCTTTAAACAACAGTTGTTAGATATTAGAGCTTTTCTTATTTGTATTTTAGAAAACATAACAAGTAAGCATAAAGAAGTAAATAAATCAGCATGTTTCACTTTGAACGCATTTCGGATTAGGTAAATGTGAATTGTTGGATATATAGACAGAAATAGATGTGCTGTTACTTGAGATGATTGCAAATCTGTGAGCTCTCGGTCCCAAACCGCAGCAAAAATGATGGAGCATCTTGTGCTGTGTTTATAAAGTTGTGTCTTTGTCCATGTAAAAAAAAATCCTTAAACCAAATAAGAATGGAAATTCATTGTTTACTTAATTGGTGTAAGATGAGTTAGGTGCAGCCTGATGCATTTTTAACAATGTACAGTAAAAACAGTGTATTTATTGTTTCCACCCATGTCTGAACATCCTCCTGTTTCCTGGGGTATACACATTGAGATTTGATTTATGCGAACTGTTTGATATTGCTAATCCTGCTCTTGTCTTTCATATTGTCATTTACATATACCCATTTTATATGTACATCATACTTGAATAAAACGTGAATTAAAATGAAAAGTAATGAAATTAAGATAGGACATACAAAAGCAAAGTGTTGTTAGTTATAACATGGAAGTCAAAGACAAATGCACATAGAGGTGAGTGTTAGCTCACAGCTGATTTCCACCCACTGAAGAAAGGTAGTAGAAAGAGTATGAATGAATGGTTCCTCCTCCTCCAAAGAGGAAGAGGTAAAGGAAGCAGATGGTTATTATGAGAAATGTGCTCTTATAGTAGTTTGCAGAACCACAAATGCACATTGTCTCCACAGCGATCTCATGTGTTTTCGGTCATATGAAGGTATCACTGCTCATTTCTCTGCTATATATATGTCAAAAAATGCTACACATTCACTGTGTCACTACGTTTGTACACTGTGTGTTTATCTACAGTCTATAAGGACTAACCGCATCTTCCTTTGTATTCATTTATTTATTTTATTTTTTTGTGTCCATACAGTTTAAGAGGATGCTGAATCGTGAACTGACGCAGCTGTCAGAGACAAGCCGCTCAGGGAACCAGGTGTCAGAGTTCATTGCCAGCACCTTCTTAGGTGAGTGTTTAACACCTGATATGAACATGAATTGATAAGGGCTGCTGCTTCCTGATAGCCTCAGCATTAATATTGAGAACAAAAACCAGTGTTTTGATGGAAACAGACACTCAGTTGCCAGTTTATTAGGGAACACTTAATGCAGTTTAGCACAACAGCCCTGCAGTAAATCCTCCCTTCATGAGGGTTATAATGTTCAGTTTCTGTTTACATGCTTTCAAAGTGTTGATTCAACTTCATGGTAATTTTAGTGGCTTGTTGTGCAGTTGAACTCAAATATTTCTAGTATTCAGTTGACTGTCATTGATATAAATGGGATAGACAACAAGATCTGTTTAAAAAGGACCTTGTGTAAATTATATTTTGTGCTATCTCAGACCTGTCAGTCAGCTTTGTGTCTGTGGTGCTGCCCAGCTCTTCTAATGTGAAGAATCTTATTTGCATAATTGCAAAGAGCATTTTTTTTTAGAGAGGGCAGGAAACAGCAGAGCAGAGAAGGAAAAAGGGGCTTTTAAAAGTAAATCAAGATGGAGAGAAAGACAAAAAAAAAGGACAGAAGGATTCAAGGAATAATAAAGAAAGAGCTTTTTGAAAAGAGGGGAAGGAGAAGAAGATACAGAACACAAAAAGGTTATTTTTGAGAAAAAGAAAGTGAAAGATAGGGATTTCTAAGAAACATGCAGAGGAGATTTTTTTTTAATATTTTAAAGTCACAGAAAGAGAAAAGGAATTGTGAAGGGAAGGAAGGATGGAAGGGAGAAAATATGAAGAGCATGTGTTTCTAAAAGAGAGGAAGGAGGAGAGGACTGTCTGTTAATAGGGACAGATGGAGAGGGTGAGGATTTGTCCTTCCCTAAAAGAGAAGGAGGTGCGGCGACAGACAGCATTCCCGGACACATTGTGTGGCGTTGTCGTAGCAACAGGGTGCAATATTATAAGACGGCGTGTTGCATCAATAGGAGGCTTAGTCTTCAACAGCCCTGCCGGCAGGATGGAGGTCCAGCCGGATGACGATGGAGCTGTCAGTCAGATGCCATTCTGATATGAGTGCCTCGGCATCAAGCCCGGCTGCGTTCGGAAATGAACACCATGGTTTTGGGTGTGAGGAAGAGGAGGCACTGTGAGAGAGGTGAGAGAGGCCAGACAGCGCCTCGTGTGACGCTGCCACTCAGGTCGCTCTGCATCCTTACGGTGGCAGGTGTTTGTATGTGGCCTCAGATGTGGATACTGTTTGAGGAATTATTCCTACTGTGCTAATAAATATACGTGGATGGAAAATACTGAGGAGGATATGTGGACGCGGGGTAAAGCAGGCTGTCTGTGATGCCAAAATGGGATTATCATTTTCTTGGTTTGCACAAAAACAGATGAGTCATTTTCAATACAACTGTGTCTGCTGGGACAGCACCTTTGTGCCAACAACTCCTGTGGAGATTATGTCGATACTGTTGGTGGAAATGGATTACACGCTCCACTGTGGGTTTAAAACATCTCCAACCTATAAACGTTTTCAAACCTACATTTGGAATAACATGACATGTGCTTCGTCAGCAAGCTCTTGAGAAACCAACAGGTTTTACCCATCATCCTTAGCTTTCTACTGCTGGTATTCTGCACCCTCTGCCATTTAGCAGTTGATATACATTTATATACAACCAGTGCTCTGACAATAGAACTATATGCTACAGTTACTGCGTAATTATACCTTTATACATTCCTGTTTGTCAGTGACCTCCCAACCATATACAGTATGTGTATATATATATATATATATACAGTATGTACTTTAAAGGCCTACATATAAGCACATTGCTTTTGTAATTCTATTTTTACTTGGCAATTCGATTTTACATACTTTATACGAAACCTCCAAAACAAACAACTCTCTAATGTATTGTTTAAACATTTATTTGCATTTAAAATTTTGTGATCTACAGGAGCACTGCAAAATCCAGTTGGTAACTCGGTCATTAACACAGATCATGACTGTGTTATGCTGAAAAAAAAGTACAAATGCACGGCCGATGCATGTTTCTGTGTGATATTTGAAGATGTATATGGGAGACCAGTTCTATTTAGTACTGTAAAAAGAGAACAGAGAATGTTTTTAAGCTTATTTTATTACCAGTCCAGCTCTTCACTGACAGCTTGTAGTTTTATCACACCTGCCTCCTTAATGTTGTCGGTACTTAGAAGAAGACGGGTTTCATGTTATAAGGCACTTCATGACATATGTGAAGTAATGCACGTTCGCTAGTACTAGTTATAGGTGTTATAGGATATTTATTTAAGTTGTATATGTATATGCTAGTAGCAGTTGTAGTGACAGCGGTATTTACAGTTGAGGAGCATAGTTAAGTCTAGTTCTGTAGTGGCAGTATTAACTGCTGTAACCACTGAAATGGGAGCAATGATTTTACACATCAAATTCTGTTTGCAGGTCTTGAGAATTACTGCTGCATACTGTATATGTAAAAGTTGGATGTTTTGGCTTCCGGATGCAGCTGTGCAAAATCTGTTAAATTGCCTCAAGTGATGTCACTTGAGTCAGTGTTACAATATGAGAAACAGAAAATGAAAAAAATCTGCGGTGTGGAGTTAGAAAGATGTTTGAAAGACTGTCAGTGGTGGAGTTGCATTGTGGGTAATTTAAGCAAGGAATGTGGGGAATAGAATGAATGATATCAGTGGTGCATCAATTTTGATTTGTTTTAACTATCTGTCACTGGTAGTTCAGGCTGCTGTAGTTTAGCAGCAGCAGTATTAATGAAGTATCAGTAGTAGCAGCAGTAGTGTTCATTATTTGTATTAGCTGGTGTTAGTATGTCAGGTAATTTGTACAAATTATTGGTTGCCACCAGCCCAGGTGCATATAAGCAACAGTCAGATCCACAGCATGAGTGCATGGAAATGGGCATGTTTCCTAAACAAAGTAAAAATTTTGGTCAATTTAAGATCAGATATTACAGTAGCATCTCAACAAGCACTCTTGGGTTTGTTTTATTTCTGTAAGAGTAACACGACTACAACTACAGACGTAATGAACTACATGAATCTGGCTTTAACAGTATATGTTGATGTCTGTGTGTTCATGTTGCAGAGAAACAACATGACGTGGAGATCCTCGCTCCACCTCCTAAGGAGAAGGAGAAGAAGAAGAGGCCGATGTCACAGATCAGCGGTGTGAAAAAGGTCACACAGAGCCCCAGTTTAGCACCCGCCTGTATCCCTCGCTTCGGAGTCAGCACGCCGCACGAGAGTCTGCTGGCCAAGGTGGGTTCAGACACACACACACACTCAGACACAGACAGACAGAAACATACCAACTCAACAATATGTATCATATCTCCTGTTTTACTTCTTCAGGAGATCGAGGACATTAATCGTTGGGGTCTGGATATTTTCAAGATAGCAGAATTTTCCGGGAACCGCCCTCTGACGGTGATCATGTACACCGTCTTCCAGGTAGGATCTCTTTTAAAAGTTATAAAAGTTGTTCAAATGCGGATAAATGAAGTTCATTTTTAAGGTACTAGGTTCATTTTTATCATCAATAAATCATTAAGTGGCTATAACCAACATCTTATACTGACAATGTATCAAATGACAATGTGAAAACAATGGCTGCTCATTGTGATAAAACTACAGAGAATTATGAATGATATCTGCAGCTTCCATTGGCTTTACAGAGCTTTACAGTGAGTTTAGGCTCAATGTTTAGCTGCCTGGTCTGTAAGTGTAGTTTTAGTTCACTCTCACTGCTCCCATGATATTGTTTTTCGGCTGCGGCAGGCAGCTGTTTACCCACTGAACACTGCCTGCTCAGCACCAAGAGTTAGACAGACACAGTTAGTGAGTAGCTGAACATAGTGGAGCATTTAGCAGCTAAAGAACCAGATATTTCCCTCAGGAGTTGATGGAGACCAAAAACAGAGCTAAAAGAGAGTCAATATTAAACTTACCTTACCAGATGGACACAAACATGACTCCAAATGAATGATAATGTTGCTCTGTAACAGCTAGATGTTCAGCACCATCAACTTGATGGTGATGATATGTCACTGTTGTGTTCACAACTTGTTTCTGCTGCCCCCAGGTGGTTATTGTAGGTTTAAGACATCATGTAAAGATTTGTAGGGATAAATGGAGTAAAGACGTTATTGTCACCATGACTACGGTACATTTTATGGTGTGATGCACCAAGTTGGATTTGGGGAGAAATCTGCTGGTTGCCAAATTGAACAAACTGCTACAAGAAAACTTCTGGCAACTTGCCTGGTCATTAGAATCAACTGAAGCCGCCCATGTCACAGTAAAAGAGAATCATTTCTAATAATAGTCATTTGATGCTGATGTGACTCTGGTTCTTTACTGATCCTCTTCACCCTGCCAGGAGAGAGACCTTTTGAAAACCTTTAAGATCCCAATTGACACCTTCATCACCTTCATGATGACCTTGGAGGACCACTACCATGCTGACGTAGCTTATCACAACAACATCCATGCAGCTGACGTGGTGCAGTCCACCCATGTCCTCCTGTCCACCCCCGCTTTAGAGGTGAGCTGAGAAAGCTTCTGGTTACTTTTATATGGATCTAGTTGGATGTAGTTATTAATCACAACAAGCTCCAGGGCTCTGGCTCTGCATCAGACCTCTGAATCCTGACTTTTGCCCTCCTAGTTGACACTTTCGTTGTTTCTTGTTCAAAATAAGTAATAGCTATGATATCATATCATCGTATTGTTTTGAATTAATGTGTTGTCTGTCCCTTGTCCAACCCAGGCGGTGTTCACAGACCTGGAGATCATGGCCGCCCTGTTCGCTAGTGCCATCCATGACGTCGACCACCCAGGAGTCACCAACCAGTTCCTAATAAACACCAGTAGGTTCCACATCTGTCTCTGTCCACATCTGCCTTAACAGGCCAGATCAAACAAGAATCACATTAAAAAAGATTGGAAACACTGTCAAAAAAATCTCAAACACTTGAAAAATGTATTTTAGGATTAAAGCAGTATTTTGAATACTGTAAAATATATTTTTTTAATAACTCTTTGATTATGTCATAATATTTTGAGAGACTTAAATACATATGGATAATTTAACAAACTGGAACAGTTTCTTAAACACTGTGCAACACCTTTTTGTAAAACTTTCAGACCCTTTAAAATACCATAAAACAGTTTGATTTGCATTGTCTTTAGTAATTAGTAATCATTAGTAATCGTGTGATTTGCTGACATGGTAGCAATAATGTATGTAGGTCTGTTTTTACTTCACGTTTTGCACAATGTAGCAAAGGAGCTAATTTAGTCAGGGGATACCAAGAGCACTGAATCAGAATGCTAACTTAACTACAGTTATGTTTGAGGTGTCCTTTTACACGTCTCAACCTACATCTCTGCAGGTTCGGAGTTGGCGTTGATGTACAACGACGCCTCCGTGCTGGAGAACCACCACCTCGCCGTGGGCTTCAAACTCCTCCAAGAAGACAACTGCGACATCTTCCAGAACCTCAGCAAGAAGCTGAGAGACTCCCTCCGCAAGATGGTGATCGACATGGTGAGACTGCTGCAGTTTTTACACCACACATTGATTTTCCTTTCCAGTCATACTGTGGCTGAACTGTCGCTTTACAGTATCATTTTTATGGTATTCGATTTAGTCTGTGGTTCAGTAAAAGTTGTGGACGGTAAAAGAATGCTGAACCAGCAGCTTTACGTATCTGGTAACATGCTTCTTTGAAAAGGCTGCTGGGAAAACATCATCATGCAGATGTTGCATGAAAACACTGACAGACTGATGGTCAGTTATGGCTTCCTTTTTTCATCTGCAGCTGGGTGGAACAAATAAAATTGGGGAGTGAAAAAGGAGTCGGAAAAGAGGCAGCACACAGAAAAGCAACAGAAAAGGAGAAAATACAGCAGTAATGAGAACATATATGGTATTAGTATATACAGTAATTCCCAATTCCATGAGTTTGGGTCAAGAACTTCTATCCTGAGAGTTAAAATGGAAAACCTGCGGATAGTGACCTTGTGCCATACGAACAAGTAGTGACATAATAACTACTGAATCGGACTGAGGTCCAGCACAGGTGTAGTTCTGGAGTGCTCTTTGCTTTGCTACAATCAGACTTAGTAACCCAAACACTGCAATGTTGGATAAATCTACAGACGTGCAAGGACAAATAAACAAACTGTCACTCATCTCGCACATTTTCAAAGAAACACTTCAAGACATACAGTGTATCATTTCATATACACGCTTCCTTCATTCGTTATTAAAAAGCATTAGAAGCCTTTAGACCTTATAGATATAGGGAGGAAGAACTCCACAGACGGCATGAAGAGATGTCTTCTTGTTGAAACAAGGAACTGAAGTTGTGTCGTGTCTCTGTCTGCGTTGTTGTCGTCCTCTTCAGGTGCTGGCCACTGATATGTCCAAACACATGAACTTCTTGGCGGACATGAAGACAATGGTGGAAACCAAGAAGGTGACGAGTCTGGGAGTCCTGCTGCTCGACAACTACTCCGACCGCATTCAGGTGAGAGCTCCCCCGGCTGACAATGAACACAGGAACACACAGTAATTAATGGTGTCATTATTCACACACAGAAATCAGTACATCATGACGGCTCATACGTGGATAGTGCATTGTTTGAACAGAGACTTTACATCACTGTGTAATTTCAAATCCTACATTCATCTGCAACAAAAACATCAGTCAGCACTGAATGAAAAGCAGCAGCACGTTTCCACACTAACCTTCATGTTTCCTTCATACACAACAAACTGAACAGCTGCTTGTGTGACAGTGCTGCTGCCTGCTGGACACGCAGCGGCCACTGCATCTGTACAGAGCTGAAGTGTTGTACAATGTGTTATTGTTTTGGAACTGGCAGAAAGATGACAGGGTTAGAGAAAATTATAATTGGTGAATACCATCAAACTACTATCATGAAATGATCAGGGTCTTATTTATCCTCTCAGCTTAGAGCATCAGTTTATGCAAAAGGTGTTTATAGTATTTGGTAACACTTTATTTTACACGTCAGATAATTCCAGTTTATTTCCAAATGATCTCCTGAGAAGTTTCTTGGAAAAAACCATAACATTTAGTTTTAATTACAGATAAAATAGAGAGTGGTCATTTGGTACACTTTCAACTATCTAAATGCTAAGGTCACAACCTTGAGACTTTAAGTCAGAGGATAGCAGGTGAGCTACATGTGTAAAATATGAAATGTGTCTACAACCAAACAAACAAACAAACAATTGAGCATAAATGAAGAATAAAGTTTTTAATAATAGATTAATGGGTAATAATTATTTATTGGCATTTAAATGCAACTTTGGCTCCTGTAATTAGTATCAAACTACATGATTCTTTCCAGGAAACTTTAAAATAAAGCCAAAACATGGTTAAATATGTAAAATTTCCTTGCACAAAACTGCTCCATATGACATTTCCAGTGTGTTTGAAATAAACAGACCTGGCTGAACTTCTTTATATAGGAACTCCTCACAGTCCCACCCTCACCATTAGTTTGATCTGAAGCCCCTGCACTGAGCATGTCCCTAAAAGAATCACCAGCAGAGTCTTACTGAGCATGTCTACTCCAGGTACTGCAGAACATGGTCCACTGCGCCGACCTGAGCAACCCGACCAAACCGCTGGAGCTGTACCGGCAGTGGACTGACCGCATCATGGTGGAGTTCTTCACCCAGGGAGACCGAGAGCGGGACAAAGGCATGGAGATCAGTCCCATGTGTGACAAACACAATGCCTCCATAGAGAAGAGTCAGGTAACGCCCACTGACACATAGAGATGTGGAGGAAGTAGAAATACGAGATAGAAAAAGAAAAAACTAGAAAAAAAAAATATATATAATTTTAAAATGACAGCTAAGTTTTGTGTTTTTTAACATCGAGCTGGACATATTATTTATTCCCTCACTTATTAACAGTTGACCAAACCAGCTGTATGCACCATATCAGCATTGGTTGTTGTTTGCACAAATACTGTGTTGCAATTTGATATATCAAGCATTTTGTAATTACTACTGGCAGAACATGTTAGCATAAAGGGTTTGTTTCTTTTACACATCTGTACAGCAAACATGTTAAATGATTTTTCCAAATGTGATGTAAAACACTTTCATATGTAGTTTTGTTTAAAATCAAATGTTGTTTGTTGTTTGTTCTTTACATCTGTCACACTGTGACGCTTAACATTGAAATCACTTCCTGAGCTCATTAGCAGAGCGTAAAACATGGCTGTATACAAGGAGTTTTGGTCTGGTGGGATGGTATCCTTGTTTGTTTTGTTTTTGCATGTGTGGGTCAGTCCTCTGGACTGGATTTAAGAACCAAACTTGGTAGCTGACTAAAAACAGTTTCTATTGCACTGACACATTTTGTGCTCGTCATAGAATAATGGTAAAATGATCATATTTACACCCATTTTCCTTCAGTCAAGTCAATGTAACCCAGAGTGTCTTCAACAAAGCAATTTTTCTATATTCATTCTATACTTCTCTATATTTCATCCTGTCAGATTTGTCTGTTCATTATTGTCATTATTAATTTTTATGACCAGGTGGGGTTCATCGACTACATTGTCCACCCTCTGTGGGAGACCTGGGCGGACTTGGTGCACCCTGACGCTCAGGACATCCTGGACACTCTGGAGGACAACAGGGAGTGGTACCAGAGCATGATCCCCCGCAGCCCGTCGCCCTCCAGCCCCGAGGAGCACCACGCCGAGGTGGGGCCAGGAGGAGGAGCTGTGGGAGCAGGAGGATCTGTCCCCTCAGGAGGGGGAGGGGGAGGAGGAGGAGGAGGAGGTGGAGGGGACAAGTTCCAGTTTGAACTCACGCTGGAGGAAGAGGAGGAGGATGAGGAGGAGTTGGAGTCTGACCTGGAGAGCCCCTTAGAGGAGGAGTCCCAATCAGGCGGGGAGAGGCACCGGGACTCCTCCTCCCCTTCCCTGTCTCCGGACCCCCGCAGCAGGTACCGCCCCCCCTCGCCTCACCCGTCTCGGACCCTGAGTCTGGCTGCCATGTCGGTGCGGAGCCCCCTTCCCCACAGGACGCTGGCCTCCCCGAAACGGGAGGGCACCGACAGGGACAGAGAACTGAGCCAGGAGGGCGACGGGGTGGCCTGCCTGCGTATGGGCACGTAACAACCAGCACAACCTGCCCCGCCTGAGAGACACGAGCGCTAGGTGTAGGGAGAGGGAGGCAGGGCAGGCCTCTACCAATAAAGTCTGTAAAATCACCACAGTCCCTTTACACTGGAGACACCCTCTCTGGAGAACAGAGCGACGTTCCCCCTCTGTTTTATCTTATTTTTTCAGCAAAGAAGAATCGTTTTAGCCTCTCTTTGGGTGCCTGATAAGCCTTTGTGTCCCATCCTGCTTTGTTGTAGTTTCAGTTTAGAGTGTCCCAGACAAAGACTGCTGCAATTTAACTGGGAAGAAGAGCGGAGCAGAGGCGTGATACTCTAACAAGTACATAAGGTAAAGGAAATGTCTTCCTCTAAAATAACTGTCTGTGACATTCGGACAAGAGCAGCGATTGAGGATCGCGGTGGTTCGACAGGGTCTCGGAAATGATTTTGCACCATAGTTTCAGTTTAATGTATGAAATGATTGAGTCAGTTTGGAATAAGTGAGTATGATTTCTTTGTTTGAGAATGATGTGAGCGATGAATCATTTTACCAAATACAGGATCTAGGTGAGCAGTGAGAAAATCGATGGACCTAAACCTCAGGGTATGAAGAGAAACTAAAAATCTAATGTAGCACAGATGTAGTGGGTACCCCTGACCTGACCCCTGACCCCAAACTGTCTTTTCTGTTTGATTTACCTCCAAACTAGAGACTTTATTTAACCTGTGTGTCTCTACATTTTAATTAAAACCCTTTAATAGAAAATTTGGAAACTGAAGCAATCAAATAATAAATATTTAAACCAGCTTGTAGCACCAGAGATTAAACACTGAAAAAGACTGTGCCCCGGTCTCACCAGTTGGAAATACAAAAGACACCACCTGTATGATTTGTTTAAGCTTTATTTTTATACCTGAGATGATTTTAAATGGTGTCATTGTTTTAGGGTTTGATTTTCAGACAGTTCTTTGTTGTACATTTGCTGGTCTTGTCTGTGTTTATGTGCTTGAAAAGCATTTTTTATCAGGGTGCCTCTGGTCCGCAGTAGCACTTTACCGTCTCTGCTGTTCAGCTCTTCTATTCAGTCACACAAAGGGCTTCACCCACCGTAGGCCTACCGATCACACAAACACAGCACAGGACATCTGATGCCAGGTACCAATAGGCAGGGCGGGAAAGTAACTGGACTAATGTCTCAACAGGGGATTTGACCGGCTCAGAGAACACCAAAACTCACGCCCTTCTGGTGGTCGGCTAACACTGGAATTATAAGACTCCAGCTGCGTTTTGAGGCACTTCAGCTACAGAGATTTAGATTCTCTAAGACTGCAGCATTTGCACCTGACTGTCATTTATAACTACAGGTGCGATAAGCTCAGTCAACTTTAAAACTAATTCTTCCTCTCTTAGGCAAGTGAAAACCCTGTGCCTCCTGTAATCCTGCATCCTGAGATCACAGCAGCCTTTCTAAATTTACAAAATCTTTTTCAGAGTCTTGATTTTAAAAGGCTTCTGTGTTGGTTGATTTGGTCCCGTTGTTTGCTGTTTGGCCTCGTCTACAAATTAATATTTTGTGGGCAAAATTTTTCAATCTACAGACTGGAACTCAGAGACTTTTAGCAGCCGTGTTAAGTCTGTTTGAATTAATTGTGAATACCATGAATGTTCCATTTCAGTCTTTAAAGTAAAGCTACTAGTAATTAACATTTTCACTCTCTGACATTTCAAATGTCAAACATCAGCCACATGTCAAGGCTTGTCTGTTATTCTGCAATTCAGTATTGCACTTTGATGAAGTTGGGGGACTGATAATACTAATAGTGGATCCTACATTTACCATAATGCAACTCAGTAGTGTCTCAGACCCTCCCTGCCTAGTAAATGCCCAGATTTTTTTAAAATCTGTCCCCCACAGGGTTTCTATCATTAATAAGAAAATTAATTAAACAACATCACTATGACATCATCAGGGTTTTTTTTTTTTTTTTCAAATGTTAGAAAGCTCCCCGTCCCATTAGACATTATACAGCTGTTTTCACAGGCTGTACTCAATATAAACTGACCTCCATGTATAAAATAAGTAAAGTGCCCCTTTAAATAAACTGCCCTCCTTTTTTTACTCAAACCAGTAAGGGTCTTATAATCCCAAAATCATTGTGGTGTTACTTTCTCACCCTGCCGACAGGGACTGCTGTACAGATTACGAGGAGCACAGTTTCAGTCGTGAATGGCCTGTAGTTCAAACTAAACCGATTGTGTTCCATCAGGTTATCAGTCTTATTTGGTCGTTAGTGTTCGACTGGGATAACTGTGTGCCATAAGTGTTGAAAACACACAAACACCTGCCAGCCTACGATGCTGTACATTTTTACTCTAGAGATTTTAACCTGATGATTGTATCAAAGTCATTGACTTTATAGTGTTAGTTTTTACGAATGATAGATGTCAACAGTATTTAATGCAGACAATTTAATAGATTTTGTGCAACTTAGGATCAGTCTGTTCAGCCCTTTCCTAATCAGATAGCTGACACTTGAGAATGTGTGTAGTTTCAGGAGTTTTCATGACTCTTTCTGTACCAAGTATACGTTCAGTCTAGAGCAGCGTTTGTGGCCGTCATTGAGGTAGAAAGACCAGGAAGTAAACAAGCACTACACCGGATATGATGCACTTCCTGGTCAGGCAGTAGTAGAAAACACTAGTCTAACAGTATTTCATTAAGTCAGCTAGTAAGCTTTATTGATCAGCCTTACATGTGATAGGAGAGGTTGGAACCTGGTGTTAAAAGACCATTTTGCTGTTTTTAACATGCCGAGCCTCAGAACGTGGTTTGACTCACTGTTCTCTCTTGAGATGTTTCAAAGGTTCCTTCACAAAAACTGTAAAAATAAGAAAGCATCTTATTGCCAGGCCTTAGAGTTGGTCATACGGAATCAGAACACATTTATAAAACTTTGCATTTCTAAAATGACAAGAGTTCACTGTTGGTTTTAGCTTAACAACAGCCGGGAATCATGATAAAACATGAAAATTCACCAAACTCGAGCCAAAAGAGTTTTTTTCATGACAGCACCGATATTCTGCTTCTGTCCTTTTACACACATTTATTCCGTCATTTCAGAGAATAAATATTATTTGCGATCAAAGCAGTCACATGATAATCGGAGAAATTCAGCTATGTAAATCGTGTTTAGTTTTCCGTGTGTTCTGACTCCATACTTTATTTAGCAACAATTAACCATAGATGCCTTCATGTGATGAAAATGCCATGTTAGCCTCAGCAGCCACAGAGCATTTCTTTTGGTTATTCACAGACTTTACCTCTAGCGCCATCAACAGGACAACACATTTATACTTGCACACAAGAAACGTCATGATCTAGCGGGCATGTTGCCATGAAAGGTGCTGAACGCTTTGTGGTCTTTTCTTTAGCATCACCCTGACAATAAACCTTACTTCTTTTATTTTTTATTTTACCTGCACTGGTAAAGCTCTAAAAATAGCACAGTTGTCTGTTTTGTATTTTACATAAAGCACCTGCATATTGTATTGTGTGATAAACACTGCAGTCTAGTGGGGTTTTGAACTTTTACTCTGTCTAAAAAAATTGCCCTGTGGTGCTCTAACCATAACTTTACCATCAAGATTCCTGTTTCTTTTTTAGGCCACCAAACAGAGACACCAAATGTCTCTAAACATTTCACTATGTCTGCAGTGTAAACTTCTAGTCCACCCATAATCACCGGAGCTGAGCCAATAATTCAGACTTCTTAACACTGGTTAAACAGCTTTCTGTTTTTACAGAGAGAAAACACATTTCCTCAAGTTAGGTAAAAGTTTGATAACATGTTGATGTTTAAGAAGATGGAAAAGAGCTCAAACACCAAGCACCAGCTCAAAAACAAGTTTGACATTAAACCTTTGAAAATATGTGTATTACGTTACAGTCTATTTGAACCATCTGCTTTATTTTTCAGAAAGTAATTTCATTATATGATTTATGTTTGAAAAAAAAGTAAATCTAAATGTAAAAATCTTGTACATTTTTATCTAAACAAAAATCTGGGCTTCCCACTATGTGACAGATATTACAAAGCAGTGATGTAGTCTGTTGTTAACACCATTTGTTAACTCCTCTGGAGCACAGGGAGTGATGCGTTTACTTATCCAGTTTGTATGGAATAAACTAAAGCACAAGCAGTGAAAGCCACTGCGACTGATCAGAAAAGCAACATACAACACAAAGACGAGGACAAATTAATCACTTAATGCTCCTAATAATAAAGCCTTTATTTAAAACTCAAAAAGTATTGAGGCCAAAGGCCTTACAATGATGTCAAGTAGATACAAAATAATAAAAATACAATCAATTAAAACAAACAAACACAATTAATAAATAATAACAAAATCAATTGAAACAGGTACAGACAGAAGTTAAAAGGTTATTGATTAATGACTTTAAATGATGAGGTACCACATTTATTTTAAAGTGACTTCCAGGTGGAGAGCTCAAAGAAGCCAAAAGCAGTTCTTCCAAGCTCAGTGTGAACTCGAGGGACATGGAGCTTAAGCCAGTCATTAGTCCTGGTGTAATGTGGTCCAGTGGACCAACCTAAGATGGGAGTAATATATGAAGGCAGCTTTCCAATAAAGACCTTGCATATAAACAAATGTATATGCAAAAGTGAGAGAGGACCACCCAATCTTTTTGTACAGGATGCACTGATGAATGTTATAACCAGTCATCACCAGTAATGAACCTGAGAGCAGAGTGGTAGACAGCATCAAGGGGCTGTAGAGCTGTAGCCGAAGCATGCCTATACAAGATGTCACCAGAATTTAAAACTGATAAAAAAAAAAGAATAAAAAAAAAAAAAGGAGGAGAGTGGGGTTCTGCAGTGCAATGGGAAACGGGATTTGTTCCCAAAGATAAAGCCAATCTTTTGCCTTAATTTACTCACCAAATTTGATAGATAACTTATCAATTTTGAAGCACTTCCGTTTGATATGAACAGAACACATGAATCTTTTTAGGAAAAATACGTCTCATGTACAAGTTGAGCATGGCATTTCCATCATGTGGGATGTTTGAAACATTGAACATCTTTTTCCGACGCCCTTACAGTTTTACGTCATCTGAATGTGGAGTGTGTAGCTCAGTGATCTGAGGTGTTTCATTGGCATGTTAAATTCAGCACTGTGACTCTACAGGAAGACATCAGTGCCATACAGTGTTAAATGTGTTGACGAGCAGCCGAGTCTCTGCTCTCGCTCTGTTATTGTGTTGCGCCGATACTGCCACCATTAATGTTCATGCCGTCTCGTTTCCTCAGCCTGTGTCGTGCAAACTTCTATAAAGATATTTATTCTTCAAAACGTTTCTGTCGAGACAAAGTACTGTAACATAGGACATTTGATTTTATGTTCTGGAGCCTAAAAATCAAGTATACTTTACAAGTATGTATACATCTGCCACTCCAATGTTTTTGTCAAAGAAAAATATATTTTTGTTTCTCATTTTAAGCCAAAAGAGTCTCGGGAGTTCAGGGTGTTTTAAGTGGAAAATGCCAATAAATTATATGGAAATTTATATCAGACTGGCTGTTTTGTCATTTCTTTGTTTTATATAGTCAGCCTAATGAACAAAGTTTTCTTTTTTTTGTTTTTTAAAATGGAAATAATGTCACTCAAGATTTACATTCAAGACAAGTCAGATTTATTTCACTTTCAAATCTGGTCCCAAAAGTCCCATCAAAATACAGGAGACACAAAATCCCACTATATGATCCCATATCTACATTGTTATCAACTACAATATTCTTGAATGAAAACTAAACATGCCAGTATGAATATGATGATGTTATTTGGTACATTATGTATGTTTGTATATGTTATGATCTGCTGTTTTCCTGCAGATATTTTAAAGTTGATTTTGTTGTGTTCAGCAGAAGCTTCTGTCCAGTCTGACTGGTGCTCCAGTGCAGGCTGGAGGCTTCACCCCCTGTACACACAACAGAGTTACAGTCACATCCCAGCATGGCTCATTACATTACCAAGTATAGTAAGAAAGAATAAGTGTATCAATGTGGAGGTTGAAGTGATGTAGATGCAACTGATAACAGTGATAGTGAGACAAGGTGATACACACTTCAACACAACAGCACTAAAATGCATTGTCAGGGTCAGCAGTAATGAATAAATATACAATAAAAATGAAGTTACTTAGAAAAAAAAAATATATCACATTGATTTCAAACAGACAATACATACAAAAGTATGCTGTAGTTACATTGACGAGGGAAAATAAAAAACAAGTCCTCACCTTGTAAAGTTGGCAAACCAAATGGAAAAGGGACGACATTGCCTTGTCCTCATTCTCCTCTGTGTATTCCTGCAATACAACAATATCATTTTTACTTCTATTTATTATTTGTAGTCCATTATATGTCAAATGTACAGAGCTTCATCAGAAACTGCAGAGGCACAGCGGCTTGATGCCAGAACCATATTAATTTTCTTTCTCACAAAAAACAATCCCGGTGACACCACTGTATACACATACAACTACAGATACAATGCATACATAATGCAAAAGGAGGGAATTCAAGACCAACATTTGCTCCATCATTTACAATTGACAGAAAAGAGATAATTAAACGATCTTCTAGAGTCATGATGGAATGAATTCCTTCTTTTCTATTCAACTCTTCTACTTTAATTAACTTGTAAGCTGATGGCCTGTTTATCACTGAGCTTTAACTCACCCAAATCAGCTTATGTCAGTCTAAAGAAATGTTTGCACGACTGATTTAATCTGCCGTTTACTGTACTGCAAAGCTATCTTTAACAATTTTATGAAATTTGAAAGTCTTAGTAAGATCTATTCAATGTTTTCTATACAACAAAAGTAATCAGAAGACTGTGCTTATTAATGTGTCAGTATCAGTGGAGCAGATGAAAAATTTATTGTGCAGAAGAATCTTATTACTATTAACTTTTTTGTAACACTGTATATCCATCCATCACAATGCAAGCAGTGTATTTTACCCCATTGAAGGTGACCCAGGGGACGTGTGTGTGAGCGGGGTTCAGAGCTCTGGTCATGACAGCGTTGGCGTGCATCAACTGGTATCCCATGCCTCCTTTGACACAGGAGTCGACACTTGACCAGGAGACAGAGGGAGCGTAGAGCTGGAGGCACTAAGACAACAGGACAGAGTCAACATCACCAACAAGACACATCCAGTGTATATTCCAGCAGGAGTCTACTGGGATTTTAAAACCCGTAAACACTGCAGTCACTGTCACTTTTTTCTGTTTGCTGTGGAGGACGTAGACAGACATATGCCAACTCTGACACATCAACAATGGCTTCTTTATGGTAAGTTTACCTTTATTTGCCACTGTAAATAATTTGGTTTTAGAGTTGCAACAATTAGTAATTCAACAAAAAATGAATCTGCAGCTATTCTTATAGTCCCACACCATGTTAAATACTGCAAGATCCCTGGTGAGTTAAATGAAGAAAAAAAAGCTACAGTTGTTTCTGTAGAAACTCACAGGCTGTGCAGCGGCGAGAACATCTGCAGCTGACTCCATGCAGTAGATGATGTGAAGTGCTGAGTCTCCCGTTAACTGGATGATACAAGCCTGAGGAGCACAGCGGTTCATTTAAAGTCACCATGCTTTTGTATGAATAAAACATGACAGAGGTGCAGGTGATGAAACATGCAAACCTCAATCATGTTTCCTCTGCATTCAGGCTCTCCGTGCTGACAGGCGAAGGGAGAATTTGCTGAGGGAAGCTCCTACAAGATAAAATACAAGTCTCACTTAGGTGATATTAATGTTTTGCAGCAGTGAAGATTTTCTTGGCCATAATTGTCAGTATGACCTCTTAAGATGACGTAAAATCTTCTCCCCACTTTTAAAGACGCTATGTGTGTGTTAATAGAAGACGAGGATCAGCTTACCTTGGCATTCCCGTAGGGCACCAGAGTGACAGTCATGATGTCCTGCAGCATCGTCCAAGTAGGGAACAGCTGCTGGGAGATAAAGACTCTGCAGGCTGGACACAAGCTCTCATAGTACAGAGTGACAGATACTGGAGGAACAGCCCGGTTTGGTCTGGTAGCATTCACCTCCATACACTGCTTCTGAACCTACACAAGGAAAAAAAAAAAAGAAAAAAGACTGTAACATGTGTTATGTTTCCCAAAACAAGTCTGAAGGTTCTTTTTATTGTTATTATTAACCAGAAAGAAAGCCTGTGTAAACTGGGTGTACTAATCCACCAGGGTAGCACTCTCTTCTCTATGGCGGTTTTATATCTGCAGAAAATGAAAATATGTTCAACTATAAATTCATTTGTGATGCCATGGTTTCATGAATTTTGACCATTTAACATTAAGTAATTTTTACAAGTTTGTCATGAGAAGGAAGACATTTTTTAATCTCACCATTGATTAAAAAAAAAAAAAGGACAAAAAAAAGTGGATCAGATTCCAATTATCTTTAGTTATAGTGTTACACCTAATCAAAGAATGATTATAAAGCTTGTAGCTCACAGTTTTCAAAGTATGACAAACTGCACACCCTTGTTTTTGGTTTTCCAGCCTTTGCTCATCTTTAACTTTATTAACTGTTTGTGTTATTTGACCCAGAGCTGCTGTACCAGTCACATGAAGAACGTTTGGTCTTCAATTTCCCGAAGCATGACTCTCATTAAGACACAAACTAGGGAAACTTTGAACTCCATTGAACTCAATTTTCCATGTTTTTATACAATGATATTGTTAATATTATGGCCCTAAATATATTTTCTCCATCTTCCCAGAACACATACAACAATTCAAGTTTAAGAATTTCCCCTTTTCATATACATGAAGAAAAGATTTTTTTTTTGGTATTCGGGATCCTGATAAGGGCATGAGAGGACTGTTGTAAATTCTCACAAAAATAAAACCCAAGAAGTCTGTACTTGGAGCAAGTACAAATCAGGCCACAACAGTGAGAATATATATATATATATATAAATATATATATATATATATATTTCAGGTATTTGGTTTAATTTACACATTTTATAACGGTAAACGCTTTGTATTTAGGGTATATACTCCTTTCATTAGGACAATGTTGTAAAAGATAAAACCCCTTGCTTTTATTCCATTCTTTTACAATCCATATCATTATCTTGGTCAGACCGAAGAGGTCAAGCAGAATAAACAGTATGAAAATTACCCTGTAAAATAGACCCCAACGTGTTTATTCTACTTACCTTACATTCTATCGCTATCTCCAGTGATCGACACCACTGAGAAGGAGGATAACGGCAGGATGGCTTGGGATGAGATATCCCGAAACCTCTCCTGAAAGTACAGAGGAGTAAAAACACAGCCAGCAGTCCTGACAGCTTCATGTCTGATATCAAGTCCACGCTACACTGAGGAGGGAGGAGAGAGAGAGGACTGAAGCAGCCACTCCTCAGAGTCGCCTAATCAGCCCGATCAGCAGCTGATTAATGCCAGGTGTGATTGACCGCTGCTGCCTTCAGGGATCCTCGGACACTTCTGCTTCGCACTCCGTGAACAGGAGAAAAACAAGTAATGTAATTGTAATTGGCTGTTCGAGCCTGGGATTAATTAGAACATTTTTATCGGGGAGAATGAAGTGACAAATATGAATGGTGATAATACAAGAATAAAATGAATAATAATAATAAAATATTCCCAGTCAGGGAAAAAAATACAAAATAAGAGTCTGATGGATATGCATTTTAACATAAACTGCACAGAGACTCAAAGTGAAGTTGAGTTGAAAAGCAAAGCCATATGGGAACTGTAGTTGATGCATGCTAATAACAAATGTATTTTTTCTTCAGCAAAACTATGAGATGCTTACATTGTACGAGCAAGCACAACAGTAGAAACCAAATTTGAATGAGAATATGGACACAAAACCTCAGGAAAGTGTGTCAGTTCTTTACAAAAGTTATGAAAGAAGCATCTGAAAAAAACCGTTGAGGAGGGGCCAAGTGCGCCATCTTGGAGTTTGAATTCTTCAGGTTGGTTTAATGGAACTCAGCTGCGGTCCAGTCAGGATGTGTCACTCTACCAACACCTGTGTCTGAGAAGTTAACCTGCTCTGTAGCTTGTTTTATTTTCAATATTTACCCAATGAGCAAACTTTATTAACGCCGACTGTCCAATGTTGTTTTGCTCAGAAAGCCACCCAAGAGCTTAAATCTAACCTGAGTCTAGAAATACGTCTCAGATAATGTCCACATATTTTTCCGGTGAAAACACCCCGATCGCCAGAAGCTATGTGATTGAAAAGAACCTTATTTTCTCGATGGCAGGTAAATTGCCCTCACCCCCACTGCTACCATGTGACGCTAGAATTTTCCGGCAATGCTGGCGGGCAAAATGAGAGTGAACTCAGTGGGCCATGGCTACTCCATGCTGACAGAAATGGAGGGAAGTTACACTAAAAATGGCGTCAGCTTGAACCCTGCTATTCACATCTTCCATCGGAAGCGGTGGTGGACTGGCATTGCAGTGGCCACCCCTCCGTGAAGATTGGTGTTCTTTTATCTATGGCCCGTTGACGCAAACAGCGTCAAAAGAATGGATTATTTGATGGAAAAACAGTACAAGAACATCATGACCCTGAGCTGGCTGGTTGTCCAGGCACTGGAAGGACATAATTATTCAGCAGAGTTTGCATTCAAAGCCCCAAAAGAAACTCTTCGAAAGGTAAGATGAGTGTTCTTTAAACTCAGTGTTGTGTTTGGTGAATGGATATTTGTCCTTACCTACAAAGCATTCAGAGCTTTCAGATTCCCGACCCCAAAAAATCATACCTGGACCTTGAACAAAAAGTTTATTTTACATGGTTAATCCATCTTTCCATTGATGTTGTTGATGTTGTTTAATGACTAATTCATGATTGGAGGAATTATTACATCTGGGAAAGACAAAAATGTGATGTGAATGTCATGCACTTGGTGATTAATTCTAGGCCATTTAATCCCTACTGCTTTTCACTGATATTTTCAGTACTTTGGTCTGTATGAAAAGTGGAACAATTATCAAATTGCTTTCTATTTGATATAGAAAAGGTATTAATAAGACTTAACTTTGTGAATCCTGCAGTGACTCTGAAAGTTGCAAGGTTTTCTGTCTGGTCAGATGTACACAGGTTGTGCAAGTTGTCATACTTGTTCAATTTGTGATACACTTTAATATCTATGACAGTCTTCTAATGCATTGTCATTTTGTACTGTATCTCTTGTATTCTGGTGCTCAGTGTAATTACCCTTTTACAGTGGTTTGGGTTAAGTTGCTTTGAGGGGAGCAGCAGCAGCAGGTCAAGGTGCAGAGGTAGTGGTAGCTGCAGCAGTTGATTCTAGCTAGATGAATGACCTGTTACCACTGTTTTCTCTGCTGTCATTTGGCATTTAGGCCTATATGGTGTAGCTATCATTTGGCATGTAATGATTTCTTATATCTGCATACAGTGGAAATAGAGTTTTGCAATGTGCAGTGAACTTTAAAATCTAAAGTGTAGTAGTTTGCTACATACTGTGTAGTTTTGAATTTTCTTGATGCTTGTAAAGCCACAGTGTGCGTTACTGTGGTACACAGTCTTCAGTTGTTGTAGTGTGTAATCTAGCACTTTTGCTGTAAAACAGGCTTAGTATATGACTTAGAGCTGTGACGATTAGTCAATTAAGCAATTAGTCGATCAATAGAAAATTATTCTGCAATTATTTTGATAAATTATTTATTGTTTTTGTCATTTTTCAAACAACAATTCCAAACATTTGCTGGTTCCAGCTTTTCAAAAGTGAGGATTTGCTTTTTTCCTGACCCCAATATGATAGTAACAGAAGTATCTCTGGGTTTTGAGCTTTTGGTTGTACAAAACACACATTTTAAGATCTTACATTAGGCCCTAGGAAACTATGACCAGCATTTTTCACAATTTTGACATTTTATAGATTAAACAATTAGTTGATTAGTTGAGAAAATATTCTGCAGATTAGTCTATAATGAAAATGATATTTACTTTCTGCCCTAATATAAATTAATGGTATTTATGGTATACATTGTGTTAGCTGAGGCCTTTTGGTGTTTGATTAAAAACATCACCTCTAAGGAAAAGTGTTGAAATCCTCAGGTTATAAAATAACACCAGAAAAACAACTCATTAAACCATCATCTCAAATTTATTTGGGGATCTGAAAGTGCATACATGAACAATAATGTTCTGAAGTAGGTAAAGTCAGGTTTTACACCAACAAAAAATGTTTGAAACCATCAGTTTTCTTCAAATGTGACTTCTAATGGAAATTCAAACTATTTAAATGCCTGTTTAACACAAAAAGCTGAATGTTGTTGCATAATCATTATAGTAAACATTTACAATAACAGTATTTTCTCACAGCAACAGGTTATTAACTAAGGGGAACTAAATGCTTTAGATCAAAGCAGAAAGGCTAGTCCATACAGTCACTATGGAAAAAAAATTAGGCTAAAAGTTACAGAAACATCATTTTAACAGGTACTACGTTGAATGCGATGCAGAGACAAGTAGAGGTATTTGATTGTATGCACAGCTCAAAGTGAAACAAAACCTTTCTAAATATATGAAGTCCCTGGATTTCAAACATTTAAAAAAAGTTATTAACTAATGTCTCATCTAACTCAAGGTGAAATGGAAAACAAAAATATCTCCCAAAATGCTGTTTCTGTTTGACAAATGATTAAACTAGATCCCACCATGTTATTGGCATGGAAGAGAGTTGATAGGATAGACAAGCCATTGAATGGCAGCCGAGCATTGTGAGAATGCAAATATCAATTACTAACCTGCCTCATTCCTTTTAACCCTACCCGTAACTACACCAAACCCATAATAAACATAGCCATTCTTTCCTTTAAATTTAACCTCCAACGTAAATTTCCCATACCGATTAAGTACCACGCTAAACCTGTACCTACATAACCAGTTCCCTCACTTAGCTACATCTCACCCTGCACCTAAACATAACGATCTATTCACTATACAGAACACTGATCTGGACCTGTTTTGCAAAACGCTGTAAATGATTGTTCAAAATTGTAGTCAGTGTAAACGATTTTGAACATTCTGTTCAAGAAGTTTTTAATTTAATTAAATTTGCAATATCTTTACCAGGCAGTAACCAGGCAGATTAGTGTTAAACAAGTAAAACTACTAGTTTAAGGTTTTGGAAAGATAATTATAATAATTAAATATACAAAACAAGCAAACATTAATTATTATTCTAAGGTCAGTCATCAAACATGTTACAAGCCCATCTACCATACCAGCTTTCACAACCCTTCCCTTTACTTCTCTACCTAAATGGCACACTACTTCCTGCACTGCTGCTCAACATTGGCATTGACATAAACTGTCTCCTGCAGAATTTTCCAATATGAACATAATTGCTAGGGAGGAGGAACTATATTAAAAACTACATTCTCGGAATTAAACATAACATTATTACCACAAAATACCATCACCATTACTTTGCAGCAGAGAACCTGACAAACAAGGTTACCTTATTTTTTAGCACTTACAACATAGCTCTTACTCAGTCATTGCTGCATCTCACAATATCGAGCCAAGCCCTTCAATCTATTATCATCAACCCAAGTAAATTGTCTTATCTGGCAAGACAACCATTTGGAAAGTCCTTCCCAAAGGCATCTGAATGGGTCTAATTTGTCTTAAGCCAAACAAAGGCTAACAAGCGCTCATACACAAGTTAGGCTGATTTAGTCTTCCATGCCACAAATCCATGGTATCTATAATAAGATTTCAGCAAACATTCGTGGTCAACTAAAAGAATAAATGTTGCTGATCTTAGTCCTCCTTGTTAAGAGGTTTTAGTTACCTGTTAAATCCAAATAAAAAGACAAACATCTGAAAATAAAAAAATTTAAATGGCAATCACATATTTTTCCTTTCATTTACTCATAAACATGGCATTTAAGATTTTTTAAGAAAGTTCAGCAGGCTAGCTAAATAGCTTGCCTAAACAGCTTTTAATTCTAGATGAATACTTGTTGTAAAGTAGAATTTTGGCCTGCTGTAAAACACTTTCATAATTTTAACACTGGTTATGAAAAATGACTTTGTTGGACAGAGAACTACGTAAAATGATTCCTTCAAAATAAGTGAAAAACTCAAACCAAATGCCAAACCAAATGATAGCACCTAAAGTTTCGTGCCAAAACACATTATCCATTATATGAAAAACCTTCAACTGAAAGTACATCGTGACACACATTTTAAGATATGAGACATCGATTCGTCTCCTACAAAACAGTAATAATTTTGAAGTGTGTTTTTGGTGTCTTGTTTGTTAATTTTTGTTTGCACAGTGATAAAAC